TGTACAACAGAATGTAACACTGCCTTGTTCTGCGCCAGCCTCACCATCCTTGCCATACCTGAACCCATCACTGCAGCCACTGTATCAGTACATCTCATTGAGGGCCTTCCACTCTTTTGCTGACCCTCCACTTTACCCTGCTTGATATCCTTCTCCAGGTAATTGTCCCTTCTGACAACATGACCAAAGTAGGTGAGATGAAGTCTGGCCATTCTCACTTCCAAGGAGCATTCTGGTTGCACTTCTTCCAGGACAGACTTGTTAGTTCTTCCGGCACTCCATGGTATTTTCAGTGTTCTTTGCCAACATCACAACTCAAAAGCATCAACTTCTCTTTGGTCTTCCTTATTGATTATCCAGCTGTCACGTGCATATGAGGCGATTGAAAACACCATAGTTTGGGTTAGGTGCATCTTTGCTCTTCAGCACTTTAGAGAGGTCTTTTGCAGCAGATTTACCCAGTGTAATATGTCATCTGATTTCTTGACTGCTGCTTCCATTTGATGTTGACTATGGAACCAAGAAATACAAAATCTTTGACAACTTCAGTCTTCTGTCCATTTATGATGATGCTGCTTATTGGTCCAGTTGTGAGTATTTTCATTTTCTTACATTGAGGTGTAATCCATACTGCAGACTGTAGTCTTTAATTTCATCTTTAATCATTACTATCTTTATTGGCTGTTTTTGTTTTTGTTTCCAGCTAACCACAAGTTCAAGTCCTTTATGTACCTTTGTTATGTATAAATGATTTTTATACTTGAAAGAAATTAGCCCCTTGTAATATACTTCTTAAATATTTGCCTGGTTGGAAAGCTATCATTTGATTGTGGTTTTGCTATACTTTTATTTACAGGAGTTTTTAATATTTTTGTGTAATAAAAATCTTTTTTTTTTTTTGCTTATGACTTCTGAGGAAGGTAAAACCTTTTTAAGATTTTCTAACTGAATAATTCTGCATGAAGAATTAATATTGAGCTTGATTTTGAGCTCAAAGAAATTCCTAATGGAGAATCCACCACTTTTTCATTCAGCCATCAGTGACTTATACTTGGTTTAAATAATTTCTAGCATGCCTCTGAAAAGTATGCAGCAAAGTGATGTAGAAATCAATTATGAAATTCTGCCTCCCAAAGAAACACTAAAAGATAAATGGTTTGAGGACTTTTGTATTCCCCTGTATGTGTGTATAGAATGGATATGCAGAAATTTATGCATGTACTAGAGTGAAGTGGAGAACCCGGGAAAGGAAGAGAACACACTAATCATTGTCTCCATGTTTGGTTTAAAAAGCCTGCATCTGTGACAATGAAAGTGATTTTTAACCTTGTTTCAAGGAAAACACTACTAGACTTAGTTGATCATGGGTTTTTTTTTCCCCCTACAAATACTGCAGTCTTATAAAGAAGTAAAGAAATTCCTTAAAAAGATCCTTGGGCACCAGTGTTTCCATCATTGGGAACATTGCCCACTTAATCTGAATCGCACTGCCATCGAGTCAGTTCCAACTTACAGTGACGCCTATTGGGTTTCCAAGACTGTAAATCTTTAAGGACATAGATTGCTTCATCGTCCTCCTGCAGAGCAACTGGTGGGATTGAACCATGAACCTTCTGGTTAGTAGCCAGACACCTCACACACTATGATGCCAGAGTTCCTGAATCTGAATATAGATCCTAATTTTTTTAAATTTTTTCTTTTATTCTTATTTCAGAAAATGATATGCCTATCATTTTGTTTGCTATGGTTCTTGATTTCAAAGGATTAATAACTTCCTAATTGACCTAACAGTGTAGATTTAGTTCCTAGGATATTTGGTGATCCTAATTTAAATGATGATACAGTATAACTTACTTTCTACCACAGAAAAATAGGTGTTCCCTAAAACGCCTATTTTAGTATAATCATAGCATGTTGAGGAAAGTTTTAAGAAGGGAAAGACTTCATGTTTATAAGGTAAAATTCTGTTTAATTCTCCTGTCTCAAATGTAAAAGTTTTAAATCACAAGAGATATCACTGTAATGAGAACATTAATGTGTATTTATGGAATTGCAAATAGAAATTATTGGTTGGATGAATAATATGTGGACTACCAGTGTTTTCTGTCATTTGGAAGGGGAACTGGGAGATAGGTTATTAAAAATTAATCTTTGGAAATACTGTTTCGAATACCAATTATAAAACATAATTGTGGTCTTCCAGTTCAAGTGATACTTAGTTATGGTGGGCTTTCTACACAATCATTTTACTTAATCTGCAGAGGCTATGTAATTTTGTAATTTTTTTAATGCTATGGCTTGTGTTTGTTTTTAATGCATACACAGATAAATAAATATAGTAACAGTTATGTTATTCAGAAATATTTTTAGTATCAAGAAAGTGCTACAGATCATTATAATTCTAAGCCTTTTATTTCCCATTATAGTCAGTTACATATAATACTTTTATCTCATTAACAATCCTTTGGAGAAGCCCAGTGGTACAGTGGTTAAGTGCTTGGCTGCTAACTGAAAGGTTTGTAGTTCAAATTCACACAGGAGAAAGACCTGGTGATCTGCTCCCAGAAGGATTACAGCCCAGAAAATCCTATGGGGCAGTCCTACTCTGTCACATGGGACCACAGTAAGTCGAAAATTTACTGGACAGCACCTAACAACAGTAATGCTTTAACAGTGTAAATGTGTACCAAACTTTTCATAGTGCATGGATTCCAGTGAAGAATCCAGACAGATTCTTGCATGATGAGAATAGTCTTGTGATAATGATGAAGTACTTTGTTCTTATTTCACATCCTGGTAGGGTAGCAGGAGCACAAAGGCTTAGGGGGCTTTGTTGTTGTTGTTGTTGTTATTTTCCGTCGAGTCGGCCCCGACTCATAGTGACCCCTCCTTGGCTTTCCGAGGCAGTATCACTACGGAAGTAGGATTGCCCAACCTTCCTTCCGAGGAGTGGCTGGTGGATTTGAACCACCAGCCTTCTGGTTAGCAGGCAAGTGCCTTAGGCACTATGCTACCAGAGCTCCTTGGAGGGCTTTAGGAGCATCATATGCTCAGTTTGCCTCTGCCCAAGTGTGTAATAATCCTCAGGGTCTCTCAGAGAATTAGGAGGATCTTTGGCTCCATTAAGTGTTAAAGTAGCACCTTGGATTGCTAAGACTACCCAGGACTTGGGCATGCACCTGAACACTTTATGTCACCACTAACAAAAACAATACCTGCACTTTTGTTCAAGATTCCCATGGGCTCCAGAAAGAGATAGAACTTAAACTCTGCTGAGCAGAATGAGAGATTTACATCAGGTTCTGTAGACCTGTAGACCCCTAGTTGACACAGACTTCCCCCTTTGACCTTATGTTGTAGAAGACTTGATTTCAAGGAAGTTTCTCATACCAGACATCATTGATCCTTGAAGGATAGCTACGGCCAGTGTTGGGTTTGTAATAACACAGCACTGACTGTGATTTCCTTGCAAGAAATAGCTCTCTTGGTGGAGGTGAATCACGTTTCCTTTTAGGCTCTAAATGTCCTCATTTTTGCAATGAGATGGCTCAGCTCAATAATCACCCACTTATAAAATTGTATAAAACTGTGCTTTTCATTTTAGGAAGTGGGGAACCAGTAGATAAAACCCACATTGGTTCATTTATTACATTATTGGGGTAGGTAATAATCATTCACTGTTAGCTTTGTGTATTTATTAACTTTCTTGCTACTCCCCACTTAGCAGTATATGATTATCATTTACATTCAGGCCCATTTGCTTTTACTTAAGATTTGATTAACTGAATTTACAGGGTGGGAATGATCCTGTCTATTTTATAATTGGTTACTATGTTAATAAATTTCAATTTTTTTGAAAAACAAATATATGCTGACTCACTTCAGATAAATGTGTGCTTTCTCTTACTCGTATTTGTAATGTAACCTTAGTTGGTGTTCTTACCAGGGGACAAATTTTACTTACTCATGATGGCAAATCACAAAATTCCAAGGTACCTAATATATTAAAAAAAAAAAACTGCCATCAAGTTGATTCTGACTCATAACGATGCCCACTGGGTTTCCGAGGCAGTAAATATTTACAGAAGTAGATTGCCCAGTCTAGGATATATAATTCATATTTTTTAAAAAAAAGTAAAATGTTTGTGTTTAAAATCTACATTTTAGTGGTAAGTCCCATGTATGAAGGCTAGATATTAGCAATTTGAATCAAAAATATATTTTCAATATTAAATGTTACTCTGCTAACTTCATACTTTTCCTTTATACCAGAAAGAAGGTAAACAGGAATGTGGTTTGTGGGTTCCTGTAAAAACAGCAGTCTTTGTTTTGTTTATTTTTTCTTTAAAGTAATATCATGATAAATTGTAAAATAATACTTAATAGTCTCATAAATTCTTTCAGTTTATTGATAATATTCCAAGTTTTGTAGCATAAATTTCCCAGTGGTTTCCTGGAAAAATTATATGTGAATTAATAGATCTATTTCTTGAATATCAGCATTTATTAAGCTCCATTAGGTAGATTTTTCTGAAGTGCTAATCCTTAACAGGTGTAAGACATGGCAGGATTTGTCCCCAAAGAGCTGATTATTTACTTGTAAAACCAAGCAGTTCTTTAGGACAGAGAAAGAAAATGACATGAGCATTACATGTATATGTCTTAAATATGAAAACCTTTTAAAAGTAGGAGAGGGCATTTTCTTTTTGGTAACCATCATAAAGTAGCTTACAGTTAAGGAATTTTGGGGTTTTATACTGTTCAATAATTTATTATTATTTATTTGAAAATATATTTGTTTATTGCTGCCAAAAGAAGAATTTTAGTTAAAATACATAGATGGTGGTGTTTTCACATCTGGCATCCTTCTTTTGTAAAATTTACTATTTTCAATATTTAGGTTTAGCTTGATATTTTGTCCTATTGGTTAGAATTTTTTGTTTTTAACCTCACGTCAATTTTCTTAATTTCTTTATGATGTGATTTTTTTCTGCTTCTAGGTTTACGGAGTTCATATGCTAGTCAGCATAGCCAGCTTGGGCAAGACCTTCGTTCAGCTGTGTCTCCTGACCTGCACATCACTCCTATATATGAAGGGCGAACCTACTACAGCCCGGTGTACCGCAGCCCAAACCATGGAACCGTGGAGCTCCAAGGATCACAGACAGCTTTATATCGCACAGGCTCAGGTGGGCATCAGCTGTCTTTTGAGCGGTTTCCTGATTTCACAGTCTCAACTGTAAAAAGGATTTTATTGAGACTGGACTACTTGTTTGAAATCATGTTGCCCATTTGGTTATCAGATAAGCAGCTGTGACAACAGATCAGTAAACAATAAAATGAATGTTCATTTAGTACGTATTTGTAAGTAATATATTTTGTCCTTAGTTCAGTCAGTAAACATAATGATTGTACTGTTAATTCACAAATAAGTTTGTAAAGCCATAAATGCGACTCTCTTCGGGTTAGAAGCATATGATAAGGGAGGCCTTTAGTGGAATATTTCTTTGTAGTTGTTTTGCCTGGAGCAAGAACTTAGAAAAAATCCATGCATGAACTATTTGGTGTCTTAGGCAGGGTTCTCTAAAGAAGCAAAACCAGTGAAGCTTATGGAGAGAGAGAGAGAGGTATCTCAAGGAAATGTTCACCTGGTTGTAGAGGATAGCAAGTCCCAAATCCTTGAGTTAGGCATGAGCCTAGAGACTTCTACTGACTCACATAGTTGCAGAGACTAACAGATCCATAATTGGCTGGTCAAACAATAGACTGACTATTGCCTCATAGGGCTGTGGAAGCCAGAAAATCCAGAATTGGCAGGTCAGATGCCAGCTGCTAGTTCAAGTTCCAGGAATTGGAGGTTAGATGATGACGAGCCAGAAACAAGATCCAGAGCAAAGGAGAGCCTCGCCAGAGCATCCACATATATATAGGATGCAGGTCACACCCCCAAGGAACCTCCTCTTACATCAGAGTAAGGGTATAACTTGAATAAGGATGGGACTTGAGTAAGAATGGGACTTAACTCACACCTTCTTGTAAAGCTGTGACTCAAGATACACCTCATATTAATCCTGCCTCATTAACATACTGTCATCCCTCAGTATCCGTTAGGAATTGGTTATAGGCCCTTCCACAGATACTAAATCTGCAGATGCTCAAGTCCCTTATATAAAATGATGTAGTATTTGCATATAACGTATGCACTATCCTCCCATATACTTTAAATCATCTCTAGATTACTTATAATGTCTAATACAATGTAAATACTATGTAACTAACACTTTGGAAACAGGAAACTAGTGCATCACACCCTTGTACCCCCAACCCTCCCATTTATGCCCGCACTATAATGGCCAATAAAACAGAAACTGCAGCCTATGGCAGCATAAGCTGCCATATTGTGCTGCAGGGCTGGTTCACAGAACCTCAAGAGACTGCCTCTTTAAAAATAATATTATTAGTAAAAGAGATAGTGCAGACTTATGAACATGCCCACAAATGAACTCCAGGTAGCAATGAAAACGCCTCCAAAAGTCACAGCTCCAAGAAGCATACCTCCTAGAATACCAGGAAGCAGAAATCCATATTTGCATTCATTATTTGCCAAAAACTAACAAAGTGGGCCACTGAGGAATTTTTCTTCTAATACATCATACTTTCAGTTTTTAATAGACATTAGTGAAGAAGTGTTTCATTAGTTTTTAGGTTCTATAAATTGAAAATTTTCTTAAATAGGATTATTAAATTAATAATATTAAAGTCTTCTGATTTTAAGAAGATTATGTTTGCCATCATTGGAGAGATATCTGTTGCAGTGATTAGGAAAGAATTGTTAAATAGGGTGCACGGTACCTCTATATATAGCATCATGACATAATTTGAAGGAAAGGCCAGAGAAGAATTTTATATATTGCTCCTCTCTCTTGTGAAATAAATTTTCTAATGGTAGTAAGTTCTGTAAATAAAACATATATCAAAATAAGTAATCTCTGTATAGTTAGAAGTTTATTTCAATTATTTACAAGTTTAAGGAAATATCTTTGTTTTTTTATGACTAAAATGCAATTATGAAATTGCTCAGATTGCTTAGTTATTGTCCTATATTTTTGTGCAGTTTTATTTCATCTTAGTAAGCATATTAAAGCCTATAAGTATTTTTGCTCTTTCCTACTAATACAATTGACATCAATATTAATTAGTGTGTAATAAAAACTTAAGTACCTTTTTTTGTGCTAATGTGCTAGATTTGTAAAATTTGGAAGTAAGCTATTGCAAATAATTGCTAAAAACTATAATCCTTCGTAAAAATAAAAACATGTTGACTTTTAAAAGGGTAACCTTTTAAAAAATGTTGACGTTCTAATAGGTGTTGGAAATCTTCAAAGGACGTCCAGCCAACGAAGTACCCTTACATACCAAAGAAATAATTATGCTCTGAATACAACAGCTACCTACGCAGAGCCCTACAGGCCCATACAGTACCGAGTGCAAGAGTGCAATTATAACAGGCTGCAGCATGCAGCTCCAGCTGATGATGGCACCACGAGATCCCCATCAATAGACAGTATTCAAAAAGACCCCAGGCAAGTATCAGTTATGTTTCCAGAATGCTGCAGTATCATTGGGGCAAACCAGTGCCTTCATTCTGACTTTTCTTTAAGATACCGAATCTATTTTAATATCAGTAACCTCTTATGTCTAATACTTTCAGTTATCTTCCAGCTACATAGGTCATTGAGGTTAATTTCATCTTAAAGATAGAGTCCTTCTTTCACTGCTTTAATAGTAGGTTAGAGGATGCAATGCATAGGTCTGTTTGAATATGTGCAGCATTCATCATTGAAATACTTCACCAAGGCAACGACCTGGGAGAGCCTTTTAGTCTGAATTACACAAAAGATTTGAAAGGATCATTTTATCCTTTTCCCTTCTCCTGACTGTTGGATGAGAGCTTCAGAAAATGTATTTGTTTTAAACTATGAAAGACCAGTATTGTGGATATTTTGAATTATATGGGTCAACACTTTAGCTTTCATTAACTTGGTCCTTTAAACAGCTTATTGCCATTCAGGAGAGCTGGATTATAAGAAGCTCTCATACCTCCTAAGCAAAAAATGTTTGGCAAGTTATAGATGTTTTCTCATTTTAATTTTGTTTAGCTATGTAACAAACATTTGTTATTAAGATTAGTATGAGTCATTTAGTACTTAATTGATTTTTGGAAAACTGGCCTTGTCTTTAATGAAAGTCATTTAAAATATTTAGGAAGTAAGAAAGATATTTAAAAACTGAAAGAGAATTTTACTTTATGAAAGACTGAAATTGATGCTAAATTTAACCAGCTTCAATATTATTTTAAGGTATATATTAGCAATATTTCTCTCACTCTTCACCCACAAATAGTTGTTTTGCTGGAAAATTGTTATAATTATCAATTCATTTTTAGCAACCTACCAGCTTGTTCTAATGAATATGAATTAAAAGCATGAGTGAGATTTGGTCATGAAAACAGAATAACTGAATGTACTGTATAGAGTTGAATGAAAAACAGACTACCTCACTAAAGCCACTTCACCTATTCACTTTTTTTTTGCCTAAAATGCTGTAAGTTTTCTGCATACATTTGGCTCTGCTATTCCTTGTTTGCCACCTTTTTGTCATTTTCAGGATTTTTAAAATAATTTGGCTGATGGCACTTCCAATATAAGTAAATCAGAAATATTGTTACATAATTTCATTTTTTAAATTACTTAAAATGACAAAAGGGTAGGACACCCAAATGAATGCAGAAATTCCCGAAAGAGTTTTGAATTACAATTTAGACCATACCCTGGCTGAACCTGGAGAGAAAATAATAACTACCCAGAAAAGTAGTGAAGTGTGATTAGAGATTTGAGTTTAATATGTGTCCCTGAAGACTTCAGCTTTGACCTCTAATATTAGTTGATTCATTCTAAACAAGAATTTCATGTATGATAATATCCTTCAGCTATTCATAGTATGATAATTTCATAGTCTAATGCATAAAACTGTTATGGCTAGCTTTGATTATATGAAACTTTACTAATAATGAATTTCATCAGATGAATAAATGATTATCATATAATAATAGGTGCATTCATTCTAGCTGAAATTGGAATCCTGGAGAATTAGAAATTTGAATATTCAAACCAAAATGAAAACTTCTATGACAACTGTTACTTAATTTTGAATTTTAAAAATAGCAACTTTGTTTTAGTCACTTACAAACCTGATTTCTTTATTATTAATGCTATATTATAATTAGCCTGAAAAATTTTGTATATGATTGATGAGGTCATTGTTGCTTGTTACATTAACTGATATCTATGAGATTTTTTTATCTAATTTGGAAGCAAAACTTATTAGTATTAAAAGTGATACTTCTAAAAAGAACAGCATGAAAGTACTTCCTCTGGGAAGTGACAGTAACATAAAGAATGGTAATATTCATGGTGTTCCTTTTGAGCAGGTTCCATCCAATCTGTGACAGTCAGCACGATAACTTCATTTACCACTTCTCTGACCTTTATGCTAAGATACATGATAACGTTTATGCTATTGTTTTTGCTTCAATAGTCAGTTGTCTTTTAAAGATATTAAAAGAAAAAAAAAGATGGTCTTTTATATTCAACCATGCATTTACAGTTAATACTGCTCATTACTTTTTCTTGTAAATTCAGATTTCCATCTGGACTATTTCCCTTCAGCATAAAAATACTTCTTTTAACCTTTCTTGTGTTACAGGTCTGCTGTCAGCAAATTTTCTCAGTTCTCATTATCTGAAAATATTTTATTTCACTTTTGCTAGCTATAAAATTCAAGATCAATGGGTGTCTTATTTGTTTTAGTATTTTAAATGCTGTCCTTCATTGTTTTCAGATCACCATTGTTTAGGATAAGAAATCAGCCAGCATTTTTGTCCTTCTTCCCATTATGTAATGTGTCTTTTCTCTGGCTGGTTTTCAAATTTTTCTCTTTATCTTTGGCTTTCAGCATTTGACATGCTTGGGATTCACTGATATTCTTACACTGTAGTAGGCTTACGATTTTCACCAAAATTTTGAAATTTTCATTCATTATTAAATTTTTCTTTCTGCCTTAAACTCTTTTTTTCTTCCTTCTGGGATTCCAATTAAACATGAAAAATCACTTGATTACTAAAGTTCTATTCATTGATTTCTAATATTTTCTCTGTATTTTTCAGATTGGGTATACTTTTATTGATCTACACATTCATTGTACTTTCTTGTGCAGTCTTCAGTCTTTTGTTAAGCTTATCTAGTTATTTTTTTTTTATATATCAGATACATGTATTTGAGCCTTTTAAAAATAGTTTTAATTTCTCTGATGAGAAGCCCCATGTGTTCAATCCTTATGTCCATCTTTTCCTTGAAGTCTTTTTATGTGTAACAACCATTTTAAAGTCCTCCTACTAATTTCAACATCTAGGTTGTCCATTGGTATTGGAGTGTCTTCCTCTTCTTTGAAAGTCACATTTTCCTGCATCTTCTCGTGTCTAGTAATTTCAAGTTGTATTTGGATGATACATTGTAGAGATTTAGGATTATTTTGTCCCCTTTTATGGTGCTGAAGGAGCTCTGGTAGCATAGTGCCTAAGGCACTTGACTGCTAACCAGAAGGCTGGCGGTTCAAACCCACCAGCCACTCCTCGGAAGGAAGGTTGGGCATTCCTACTTCCGTAGTGATACTGCCTCGGAAACCCAAGGAGGGGTCGCTGTGAGTCGGGGCCGACTCGATGGCAAATAACAACAACAACAACAACATGGTGCTGAAGTTAGTTCTGGCGGACAATTAAATTACTGACAGATCCTTTGAATTCCGTTAAGGTTGGTTTTGTTCTTTGTTAGGGCATGTTTGTGTCAGATTTATTGTTGGTTTTAGAACATGGCTCTTACTCCTGAGGCCTATTTAGAGTCTTGACTGAATGCCTCAGGTACTCAGCATGGTCCTCACTCTGACTGGGCTGATGTCATCATCACCCAGTACTAGTATCTGTCCAGCCCTTAGTTCTACAGCAATTACTTTACATTGAACGTATACACGTGCCCTGCACAGACACAGTCCAGCCCTTATTGAGGCTCCACACAGGCTTCTAGAATCCCTTCTGCATAGCTGCCTTCTCTGCTGTACTCTGCCCCATAATCACCAAACAGTTCAGTATCCCCAAGTTGGTTTCATCATATAAAAGGAAAACTATTTATTACAAAGAATGCCCCTATATAGAATAGTTTATGTCTCAGGAATGATGAATAGTATTAAAGCATCTATCATAATTCAACGTTTTTTAATATTTTAATACACATCATCAAATTTAATCATCACAACCAACCTTTGAAGAAGGCAGCAATAACAAATCTTATTGTTCCCATTTTACAGATAAGAAAACTGATCCTCCAAATAATTAACTCATTTTCATAATCACATAATACTTGACAAACCTAAGACTTAAAGCCAGGCAGTGTAACTCTAAATTCTGTGCTTTTTCTCTCTGTGTTATTTTGCTTCTCTTACCAAAATAACTATTCTTAGTGTTTATTAATTGATATTATTATCCAGTTTATTGTCCAGTTAGTTCCACAAACCATAAATCTCAATCTCACCCTTGACTTTCTATAAGATCATCTGGCTACTATGCAAAGAATGGATTTAGGAGCAAGGGTGATATTCAAGGAAGAGAAAACTTAAATGAGGCTTATAAGAGTGATCCAGTAAGATGGAGTGAATGGATAGATTTGGTTTATATTAAATATTGTTGAGATGATCAACAAAGCTTGCTGATAGATTGGATGAGGATGATAAGAGAACAAGAGAAATCAAAGATGACTCTTTTGTTTCAAGGAACTCTTTGTCCCTTGTTTATGTAGGGACAACATATAAACAACCAGGGTTTCATTAACCTCCACCATTGAATTACTAATCCCAGATTCCTTATCAATATCTAATGGTATTTAATAGTTCCTATTTCATAGGACAACAGTAAAAGTAAATGAAGCCATGCATGGAAAGATCTTGACACAGTGCCTGATGTAGAGTAAACTAAGTAAATAGTAACTCCTCTGAGCTTGGCGTACTAGACACTACACATTCAACTATTGCCTATTCAATGTTTGTATCTACAACACATAGTCTGGAACCTAATAAAAATTGACTAAATATTTGTGTGAATGGATAATAACATTTGTATGTTTGCAAGTATATAATGACCTACCTGTTTGCAGTGGACTGGAAGGTGAATACCTGAAGCTTTACCCCAGACCAAGAGAAACTCTGGGACTTTAAAATTAACAACCAGTACTTCTATTGTTCTGTTTTTAGTTGTTTTTTGAAAGTTTGTTGTTGTTGGGTGCTGTCAAGTCAGCTCCAACTCATAGTGACCTATGTACAACAGAACAAAAAATACTTCCTGGTCCTGCACCTGCACCATTCTCATAATCCTTGCTATGCTTGAGCCCATCATTGCAGCCACTGTGTCAATCCATCTTATTGAGGGTCTTCCCCCTTTTTTTTTTT